CGATCTCATGATCGATCTCGCTATCGATCTCATGATCGATCTCACTATCGATCACACTGTCGATCACACGATCGATCTCAGTATCGATGTCACGATCGATCTCACTAACGATCTCACTACGGCACGCCGACGGCACATCGACGGGACATCACGATCGATCTCATGATCGGTCTCATCCAATCAATCTCACTACCGATGTCACTACTTACTGGCCTGCGGCCCATGCCGCCACGGGGCCTGGGTTGTGGGTCACAGGCCTCTTTGATGTTCGTTGGGATGTCGCAGGTGGCCTCCTGGGGGACCTCTTGGGAGCCGTTTTGGAGCCTCTTGGGGGCCTTTTTGTGGCTTCTTGGGGCGTCTTCGGAGCACCGTGTGGGTCTCTTGGGACCTCTTGGGGGCCTCTTGGGGCCTCCTGAGGGCTTCATGGGGCGGAAGACTCGGTGCCCCCCCCCCCCTTGGGACCCTTCTTGGGGCTGTTTTTGGACTCCCCTGGGCCGTCTTGGGCGCCTCCGGGGCCATCTTGGGGCCCTCTTAGGCCATTTCGTGGCCCTCCTGGAAGCCTCTTGAGCCGTCTTGGGGCGATCCTGGGGGCCTCTTGGGCCATCTTGGAGCGTCGGGAGCTCGAAAAGTCGAGGACCCCAAAATCATTGAAACCCCCATGGAAAATCAATGACTTTGGCCGGGGCCCTTGAAGCACTTATGGAAAATCAATGATGTTGGCCTCTTGGGAAGGCTCTTGGGGCCCTCTTGGATCATCTTGGGGGCCTCGCGGGGCCCTCTTGGCCCGTCTTGGGGCCCCCTTGGGCCCGAAAAAGTCACGCGAGAAGATGCGCTGGGGTCTAGAGGAACCGCGGGAAGCCATAGGAGGTTTCAGAATTTGGGGTCCAGGCCCTTAACAAACCCTTCAGGAGCGGGGACTGGGGCTTTGGGGATTAGGCAAAGAATCTGAAGGCGCGCCCACTCCGTGCCCAGCGGCACGTTGGCGGATCGATCTCACAATCGATCTCATTATTTGTCTTACGATTGTCCACATCACTATCGATCTAACTATCGATCACACTGTCGATCACACGATCGATCGCATTATCGATCTCACGATCTGATGATCGGTCTCACCATCGACCATCGATCTCTATATCATTCTCACTATCATTCTCACCATCGATCTCATTCCAGGACACCGACGGGACACCTACGGGCCACTAACGGGACACCACGGCACACCACAGGACACAATCGGGACACCACGTCGGGACACCGCCGGCCAACCGGGTGGGGAGGTCTTTTGGCCCAGCGGTGCCCTAGTCAGAGGATGGTTCAATCCCTTCCGCCCGCCCACGCAGCTTCGCCTCGCATGCATGGCACGAACACGAAATTGAAGCCGATTTCCTGGAGGGGGACTCTTCGCTTCACTGCGACCGTACCCCCCGATTTCCGATTTCAAGATGTTTTTACTATTTGTTCGGTTCGGATGGGCACCTCCGAGGAGGGCGCATTGCATTCGCGATTGTGGCCTTCTGTGCCCCACTCCTCTCCCAGCCCCCTCCTTTCCGGCACGGCCTGGGCGTTGCCACCGTCAGCGGTGGCCAAACTGCGGCGCTATGACGGCCCAGCCCCGAGAGGTCACGTTAGCTGTGCGGTCGGGCGTGCCGGACTTTTGCTGAGCCTCGGGCGTTCCTCGCCAGAGTAGCTCCGTCCCTGTCCTTCCCCTGTCTGTCATGATCTGGGGTTCTCGTTGCATGTTCCTCGGGTATCTTGGCGAGCTGCTCACCGACAGATCTACATCGCTTGCACCGTCTCGTGCTCATTCGCCGCCTGAACGGACCTGGTGCGCTCTCATGCCTGCGCTGCAGTCCATAGTTGCCTCGTGCCTCTCGGAGCCTGCTGCCTAAGTCGTCCGCATCGTCCTCTCTCTCTCTCTTTCTCTATATCGCTCTCTCTCTCTCTTTCTTTTTTGTCTCTCTCACTCTCTCTCTCTATACACATAAAACAAATATATGTATTAGTCTATCCAGCTACATATCGATATATATATATATGTATAGTCCATTCAAGATCCCACGACTTGTTGTCTCAAGGCGAGAGTCTTGTCTTACTGTACACGGATGGGGCGTGTGAGGTGGACGGAGAGGAAGACGATGAAGTGATGAACGGAGAGGCGGGAGGGCGGCGGGCGGGCGGGCGGCGGGCGGGTCGGGAGTTGAGTCGATGATTTAAGGATTCTATTTTGCAGCGGGAGGCTTTTGAGTATTGGGTGTTGTCTTGGAGACGGGGGTTGTTGAGTGCAAGGTGTTGTTTTGGAGACGGACGTTGTTGAGTACAGGGTGGTGCATGCTACACGGAAGGCGGGCGGGCGGGCAGGTCAGGATTTCAATGGATGTTTAAAGAGTTCTCTTTTGCAGCGGGAGCTTGTTGAATTCTGGGTGTGTTCTTGGAGACGGAGGCTGTTGATTACAGGGTGTTGTCTTGGAGGCGGAGGCTGTTGAGTACAGGGTGGTGCATGCTATACGGAAGGCGGGTGGGCAGGTGGCGTGTGGGCGGGCGGGCAGGCGGCGGGCGGGCGGGCGGGCGGGTCGGGATTTCGATAGACTCCTAAAGGATTGTCTCTTGAAGCGGGAGCCTGCTGAGTACTGGGTGTTGTCTTGAAGACGGAGGTTGTTGACTGCAGGGTGTTGCCTTTGAGACGGGGCCTGTTGAGTAGAGGGTGGTGCGTGCTTCACGGAAGGCGGGCAGGCGGACGGGCGGCGGGCGGGGGGGCCGGCGGCGGGTTTGTGAATCGGGAGTTGAATCGATTTGATACGGGTTCTCTCTTGAAGCGGGAGCTTGTTGGTTAATGGGTGTTGTCTTGGAAACGGAAGTTGTTGAGCACAGGGTGTCTTCTTGGAGACGGAGGATGTCCCCTCAAGATTAATGGAACTTGAAACGGACGGGTCTTTCGGGGAACCGCACGAAAACGTGGATATTGAGGAAATTGTGTGGAGGGGATCTTGAATGGAGTATACCCGAGTGTGTGTGTGTGGTGTGGTGTGTGTGTGTGTGTGGATGTGCGGATGTGTGTGTGTGGGTGTGTGGATGTGTGTGTGTGTGTGTGGATGTGTGTCTGTGTATCTGTGTGTCTGTCTGTTTGTGTGTCTGTGTGTGTGTCTGTGTGTGTTTATGTATGGCTGTGTGTGTTTGTGTGCGTCTGTGTGTGTCTGTGTGTGTGTCTGTGTGTGTCTGTGTGTGTCTGTGTGTGTATTCGTTCGTTGCCCGCACATAGCGGAGGCACCGTGCCTTCGTACGGTCTCAGACCAGGCTGCACGCCACGGCAAGCAATGCAGGCTGCAGTGGATGTGGGAGAATCACGCGGGTAGTGCACGGTCCATTGTGCATCCACCAAAGGCCAAACAACACACACCGCACGCTGCTCTTGTCGCACCCATTCGCCTGGACCGGCTCCTTCCCGGCACTGGACACACCGACACTCACAAAATTCGCGAGCAACACACGCCATTTTGGTGGTTGCCGTTGTCGGTTTTGGTGGGTGGACTAGCCCGTTCCCGGTGGCGCGATGGGGCGACACATGCACCGCGCGGCTCCGCACAAGGCTTACAGTTGCTTGTGGGAACGCGGGTGTGTGAGAGAGCGTGTTTGAGCCACACGTGCGCGCGCGTGTAAAAGGGGAGGAGGGAGGAGGGGCCACGAAGAGACGCAGCCCAGCAGCCACGGCCATGCCATCACACATGAAAGGGAGGAGGGGAAGGGAGGGGAGGCAGGGGGAGGGAGTAGAGGAGGGGGACAGGCCAGAGGGGAAGGAGGAAGGAGGGGGGGGAGGGAGAGGGAGGGATGGAGAAGGACGGAAAGAGAACGACAAGGAGGGGGGAGGAAAGGAAAGAGGAGAGCCAAATTCATAAACAAAAACACGGCCGCGAGTACGCATACACAGACGCATCACAGCGCAGCACGGCACGGGGGGCCGTCCGTGTGCGCGCGTGCTCCACATCACATCACATGCACAGCGCAGCACGGCCGCACGTGTGCGTGCGTGCGGCAGCACATCATAGCACATCACAGCACATCACGACACACCACAGAACGACACAGCACACCACCGCACACCACCGCACATCACATCACAGCACATCACAGCACATCACAGCACACGCCGCTTGGCGCGTGTGTGTGTGTGGTTTGTGTGGTGTGTGGTGTGTGTGTGTATTTGTGTGTGGTTGTGTGTGTGTGCTTGTGTGTGTTGTGTGTTGTATGTGTTGTGTGTTGTGTGTTGTGTGTGTGTTTTGTGTGTGTGTGTGTGTTTGTGTGTGTTGTGTGTTGTGTGTTGTGTGTTGTGTGTGTGGGGGTGAGCCACCGTGGTTCGCGACGGCCGCCCACCGCGCTCTGACCCTGCGCGCCTGGCTGGTGCTGCCCCCCCCGGCTGCTCATCGTCGAACTCTTCGTCGTATGAGCGTCCTTTCTTCTTCTCGGCCGTCACCCCCTCTCTTTGCCCGCCGGCCAATTTGCTTGCTAGTACCCCCCTCTAGCTCCTCGCTGGAGCGGAGTTCGCCGCCTCGCCGCTGACGAAAAAAGTGTGTGTGAGTGTGGGTACGGGTGTGTGTGTGTGTGTGTTTGTTTGTGTGCTTGTTTGTTTGTGTGTTGTATGTTGTATGTTGTGTGTTGTGTGTTGTGTGTTGTGTATGGTGTGCGCGTGTGTGTGTGGGGGGGGGGCGCGTGTGTGTGTGTGTGTGTGCGTGTGTGTGTGTGTGTGTGCGTGTGTGTATGTCCGTGTGCGCGTGCGTGTGCGCGTGCGTGTGCGTGTGCGTGTGCGTGTGCGTGTGTGTGTGTGCGTGTCCCCCTTCTTCTCTTCCTATACCCCCTCCGCTCCTCGCTCCTCCTTCCCCTTCCCTCCCTCCCCATCCCCCTCCCCCTCCATATCATTTCCTCGTTCCATGAGTTCCTCGTTTGTCTCTTGGCGAGGGAGGTGCTGGCGTGCTTCGTGCAGGGCAGCCCGCAGGACAGCATGTTCGAGAGTTGCGCATGGTGGGTAGAGGATCCAGATAAATGAGGAGAAGGAGGAGGAGGAGGAGGAGGAAGGGAAGCGGTAGTGGCAGTAGCGTCAGAAACAGGAGCAGACCGCGCTTCCCGAAGTGGGAGATTGTGCACATTGGCGGAGCGATGTTGGATCATGGAGAGCCGAGGGTGACAAGATGGGGATGTACATTCATGTTTGGAGGCCTTGCAGAGTCACGAGATGCAGTATCTAGTGGCATTCGGTCCATCCAGCCGCCGAGCTTGGGTCGTCAAGAGTCTTTCTGGAGGCCTTTTGAGGTCCCTTCGGGAGCCTCATCGGGGCAGTTTGGAGGCTTCCTGGCCTCTGGATGCCTCTCGGGGGCCAGTCGGGAGTCGTGGGCCCATTCTTGGCGGGGAGTCTTCCAGAGGTTGGTTTGGCACTGCTGCGTTCTGTCGGCATATCTCAGAGCCGCCTTGGGGGCCACTTGAGGGTCACGGAGGCCGTCGTGGGGAAATGGTCGGGCTTTTGTTTTGCCTTCTGTGTCGCTCTGAAGACTGGAGAATATAATTTGATTGGCCAGCCCCTGGTCTCCAAGGCGGTCTGGAAAACCAAAATGACAGCTTCAGGGAGGGCTCGTGGGACCATCTTGGGACACGTGGAAAGCGTGGGTCCCTGCGAAGCGTTTCCAGGGCCTCTGAAATACCAAGAGCGTGCAGCAGCGCCTGTTCATCGAGGGTAGATTGGCTATGGGGTGCTTAAGAATTTCGATGACGCTCGGCGGCGGATCCCGAGCAACGCCACACCCCATGCCAGATACTGCTGTTGCGAACCGTGGAAATGATGCACCAGTAAATTCATTAAGGCCGCCCTTGCATCTTTGTGTGTGTTGGCCCTGTGCGTCGGCCTACCGCCGCTGCACGTGTTGAAACACGGACGTTCAAGAATTCAGGCCATTGCGGATTGGACGCGAGTTCCATTGCCATCATTTGGGCTCCACGGCCATCCCAGTCGGTTCCCGCCCCCGTTCCCGAGATCCGGATCAGACTCGACAGAACGGCTTCAGACGTTGCGGCGTCGTCTCGCTAGCAGGCGACAAGAGAACCGAAAGGTCAGAGGCATTCGCTCCTGGGGTTGTCGCACGATAAGAAACACATGTCCTGTTCCTGCTCCGCCGACTCCGCCTCCTGATCCTCCTGTCGCTGTTCCTCATCGGCCTCTTCCTGATAGTATCGTGATGTGCGAGCTCACGGGGGTGCCTGATCACCACTTGCCACTGAGCATGGCACCAGAGCGAAGCCGTCACAGATCTATCTTCTACTGAGGTCTGCTTCCGCATCCCCATCGAGGGAGGAGAGAAGATAGCATATTGGTGCACCAGGAGCAGGAGGACCGCTCCATGCGTCTCAACAACACCACCCGGCCGTCTCCAGAGCGGAGCGCTGGCGGACGAGTGGCAGGCCTTCGAGCACGGCGGGGCGGAGTTTGACGTGAAGGCCGCCGCAGCATGTCCCCAGAGCTCGCACGGCGCTGGGCGCACCAGGGGGCATTGTCCGAGCAGGAGGAGAGAGGAGGGAGAAGGAGGCGGAGGGAGTCGTAATTAGCTGGAGCTTGGAGCTGGAAAAGCAGGAGGAGCAGCAGCAGGTAGGCGGGACAACGACGAAAGAGGAGGAGGAGGGGGAGGGGGAGCAGGAGCAGGAGCAAGAGCAAGGGCGGGAAGAGGAGGAGAGTAATCCAGTACACTTTCCCGTCCCAAGTCCCCTCTGCATGTACCTCTACGAGCCTTCCGTTTCATTACAGGACGTGCCCCCAACACTTTATAAATCTGTCAGTCCGGCGGGAGATCCGTTTTGGAACGGAACGTCCCTGCATCCGTCTAGCTGGTAGTAAAGGATGCGGCACGGAGTAACAATATACGGCTGAACGAAGTGTCCAGCGAGGTCCCTGCGTTGAGAAAAGGACCCCTTTTGCACGAGTGTGGCACGGGTGTATTGTTCGATGCGTTGTGCGAAGGCATCAGGCAGGCGGCCCATGTTGAAAAGGAACCGCCCTGCACCCGCGCAGCTGTTGCGCATGTTCGAGTGTCGCGCCTGCTTCGGCCAAGGAGGTCTAAAGCGGAATCCCCCGTTTGAGACGGGGCCGCCCTCCCTCCGCGTAACAGTTGCGAGCGCGGCGCTAAGGCGAGAGCCCCATATTGACGAAGAGTCGCCCTCCATCCCCGTGATTGCTGTAAACGTTTAGAACGAACTGGCGAGGAGCTAGGACGAGAGCCTCATGCTAACAACGACTTCCGTCCGAATAACTGATACATGCTTTATGATGAACGTGCGCGGCGAGAGCCCAATTTTGAAAACGACCCCCCCCACCCTTGAAGCTGTTGCAAGCTCCAAGCTCCATGATCATGGTGAGTGGAGAGGAAGCCTCGGGCGAAGCGCCCGGCCCTACCAGCACGCCTTGGGTGCGACAGGGAGTAGTGATCTATAATCAAGGGCAGAAAAAACGCCCCTACCCTGGTTTACGAGGCGCTGTGCGCTGAAACTCCTGTGGGCTGACAAGGTTAACCCTGTGTGATGTGCCGTGTCCTGGCGGCTCTAGGCTTTGGGGTTTCCCAGGAGGTTTACAGACCACGCACTCGTAACCCAGGGTAGGGTCGTTTTTTCATCCCTCAATATAAGGAAAAAGGAGGGGCGACGGCGACGCTCACGCGGAGCCGCTCGCCGAGCTGACCGAAGGCACCGAGCAGACAGGGCTTCGAGCAGGGGCACGCGCTCGTGGGGCCGATCGCCGAGCGGATCGAGGGCGCCGCGACCGACGGCACCGAGCGCGGGGCGCTGAGCTCCTCCCTTTCGTAAACCTCCTCCTCCTCCTCCTCCTCCTCCTCCTCCTCCTCTTCCTCCTCCTCCTCCTCCTCCTCCTCCTCCTCCTCCTCCTCCTTTAGTAAACCTCCTCCTCCTCCTCCTCCTCCTCCTCCTCCTCCTCCGAGCAGACCGAGGGCATCGAGCAGGAGGGCGTGGACGTGGGCTACCGTAGGTCTTCGCCTTTATGTATTGCACTGCGGTCGGCTGCTTTGTCGCGCGCGTGCGGTCGGATGGCCCCCCGGAGGGGCAGCGGATCTCGAGCGTGGCAGAGCGATCGAATCGAACCTTCAGGCGATTTCGCTGCCGGAAAAAAGGAGGGCGTGGACGTGGGGCCGATCACCGCGGCGACCAGGGGCACCGTGCACGGGGCTCGGAGCCCCGAGCAGGCTGAGGCCGTCGAGGGCAGCGGCGCCGAGCAGCGCGAGGAGGCACCGGGAGACGTGGCACTTCTTTCACACTCGTTGGGCGGGCCCCCCGCAGGCCTCAGTGTGGCGGCCGTGTCTCCCTCACGAACGCCTGCATGGAGGTCTGCCGTGTGGCGATGGCCGCCCGGGTGATCGCGGGGTTCCCGGCGGCGGGGTTCATCGTCTCCCTCGCGGTCTACGCCACGGGGAACAGCATCACGTGGGATCACGCCGTCATCACCGTTTTCTCAACGGGGTGGCCGTGCCTTCCCCCGAACACCTGCACGGCGTTCCGCTTCAGTGCGATGCCCGCCCGCGTGACCAAGATCGGGGCGAACGGCGCCGCTGGCGCGGCGTGCGCAGCCGCGACGGCGGCGGGCCTGCACACGCTGCTGACGACTGCGGCGGAGCGGCTTGGCCGGCACTGCGGCGAACTCTGGAGGCGCCCGCACAGGCGCAGGGGCGGCAGCCCCACCGCGCCGCGGCCGCCGCGGGCGCGGCCGAGCCACGCGGTGAAGCTGCTCGATGGCGCGGCGCCGAGGGCCGCGCGCCCGCCGCAGGCCGCCGTCGGTGGGGCGCCGACGCCCAGGCGCTGCGAAGATCGCGACGACCCCGACGGCCGCCGCGGCGGCCCCGGCCAGCGACGCGGGGCTCCCATGGAGACGACGGACGGGGCGGCTGCCAGGAGGCCCCCTGCGAGGGCGCCCAGCCTGGGCCACGGGCGACGCGCGCAGGCAGCAGTAGGGACGCCTGGGCTCGGCTCGAGAAGCTTGGCTGGCGCGGACCCCAAGCAGAGTCTGATTCCAGACGCGTCGCGTCGCGTCAGTTGGGCTTGGACTCGGTTGCCCCCTGCGTCTGAGCGGCGTTTGAGGCCAGGCGCGTAGCTGTCATTTTCGCTGCCCACATTTCGGAACTGGGGTTCACTCGCGGCCAGGTCCGCGGACTTGTGCGGAGGGGCGGGCTGCGGCCGTGCCTCCGGCTGGCCTCAGACAGGGGGCATCGTTGGGCAGCTTGCCTGTCCAGGATCGTGGGGCCGGCCCTCGTCGCCTTGCCCGGCCCCGGGCAAACCCGTCGGTTCTGTGGGCGCGTTTGAACTCCAAATTTGTGGGGTCAGCTTGTAGCGCAGCTCCTGTGCCCGAGTAGACTCGACCCCGGTCATCATCACCAGGATCATTTCCAGCACCAGCGCCACCATCAAGATCATCATCACCATCCTCATCATCGTCATCACCATCATCATCACCACCACCATCATCAGCATCACCCTCACCCTCACCACCATCACCACCACCACCATCATCATCACCATCACCATCACCATCAGCAGCATGAGCAGCAGCATCAGCATCACCAGCATCAGCATCATCATCATCACCATCATCAGCAGCATCATCATACTCGCCATCGTCATCGTCATCGTCGTCATCATATGCTGCATCACCATCAGCATCAGCATCGTCGTCGGCATCGTCATCATCATAGTTATCAGCACCGTCATTCTCACCATCGTCATCATCACCACCATCATTATCAGCGTCATCATTCTGATCATCATCACCACTCTCACCAGCATCGTCAGCATCAACATCCTCATCGTCAGCAGTACCCTTAGTATCATCAGTATCGTCATCACCGTCATCAGCATCAGCATCGTCATCATCGTCATCAGCAGCAGCATCAGCGCCATCATCACCATCATCGTCGTCATCATCATCAGCAGCATCGTCATCGTCATTATTGTCGTCGGTCGCCGTCGCTGCCGTCGACATCGACGTCAACTTCGCCGTCATCGTCATCCTCATAATCACCAGCATGATTGCCAGCAGCAGCATCATCATCACCATCATCATCACCACCATCTTCATCATCATCAACAGCATCATCATCAACATCACCAGCATCATCATCAGCACCACCATCAACATCAGCATCATCATCGTCGTCTTCGTCGTCGTGGTCGCCGACGTCGACGTCGACGTCGACGCCGACGTCATCTTCATCCGCACAACCACCACCATGAGCAACAGCATCATCAGCAGCAGCATCAAACCCATCACCATCATCTGGCCACGCCTCGCTCTCATCCTGCTGCCGACCCTCTTCATTTCACAGCTGCCTGAACTCACACCACCCAGCAGCCTCCTCGCCCTCCTTAATCATTTTCCCGCCCACATACACCCTGTCAACTTCGCGGTCCAAGGACGCAGCCAACCCCAAGCGATTACCTGGGGACTGGGCGGAGGAGGCTGCGAATGGGAACGACGACGTGGAGGACGACGGGGAGGAGGACGAGGACGAAGAGGCGAGAGGAGGCAGAGGAGGAGGAGGAGGAGGAGAAGGAGGAGGAAGAACGCTACAGCTGCTCAGCTTAGGTCCGACCCACGTAAAAAAAGAGGAGGAGGTGGAAGAGGAGGGGGAGGAGGAGGAGGACGAGGGAGGGGGGAGGGGCGCCTCGGGCCTAGGGGGGCGCACCCTCGCGGACAATGGCCCACAGCGTCAAGGCCTCATGGGGTGGGAAGGGGGGGGCAACAGCAACAGGAGCCGCAGCAGCAGGAGCAGCCGCAGGAGCAAGAGGCAGAGAATGGATCGAGGATTACCACCCGATCGTCTTGTAATGCTCCGTCGGTTTCCTCCTATTCCTACTCCTCCCCCTCCTCCTCCTCCTCCTCCTCCTCCTCCTCCTCCTCCTCCTCTTCTTCCTCCTCCTCTTCCTCCTCCTCCCCCTCACACGTCAGGAGTCAGAACGCAGGTTGGAACTCAAATCCTGGGGATGGCCTCCCCGGTTCAGTCACGTGTGTTGCGGACTCGAGCGTGGCAGTTTGGCTTGCCCTGGTGGATGGGGCCGAAGCTGATGCACGTGGTGTTCGATCGCATCCCGGAGATTGCCTCCCCCAGATTGTGTCGCTTTTTTTTGCCCAGGGATTCGGGTGATGGGGTTTCGGCTGCCACCGCCTCTCCTGCAGCTGCTGGCCGTCGCCCCGGCGCCTCACGACACCCGGGGGCGGCCTGCGAGCGCGGGGGGCCCCGAGCCCTGGCGCGCGGCGCGGAGGCGCCGGGGCACCCCCGCGCAGAGCCCCCTGGCGCCCCCAGGCCTGCGGCCCGGCAAGGGAGCGATCTGGGTGCGAGAGGAGGAGGAGGAGGAGGAGGAGGAGGAGGAGTGCCGGAGGCGGCGTTGGCAGGCTGTCCAAAAGGGCTCCCAGGAGGGCGCGAAGGTTTCTTCGCGCTTCGCGGGCC